GTGCTTTTGGGCACTCCAGTGATGCTGCAGCTCTGAAATATGGCCAAACTGGTGGCAAGTGGCATCGTGGCAGCTGCACGCTTGACTTTCTCAGTTCATGGGCAGTTATTTTGCGCCTTGGTTTTTCCACACGCTTCTTGCGACCCTGTTGACTATTTTGAATGAAACGCTTGATTGTTCGATGATCACGCTTCAGAAGCTTTGCAATTTTAAGAGTGCTGCATCCCTCTGCAAGATATCTCACTATTTTTGACTTTTCTGAGCCTGTCAAGTCCTTCTTTTGACCCATTTTGCCAAAGGAAAGGAAGCTGCCTAATAATTATGCACACCTGATATAGGATGTTGATGTCATTAGACCACACCCCTTCTCATTACAGAGATGCACATCACCTAATATGCTTAATTGGTAGTAGGCTTTCGAGCCTATACAGCTTGGAGTAAGACAACATGCATAAAGAGGATGATGTGGTCAAAATACTCATTTGCCTAATAATTCTGCACTCCCTGTAGGTTGGAAGCTGTGGTTGGTATTGAGGAATCTGTGGGGGTGGGTTTGGGCACTCATTTTTCCAGTGACCCTGCTATCCACAATTAGAACAGTGTGTTCCACCAATGCTGAAGTTGCTACCTCTACAAAAGTTAGACCCTTTGACCAAATCCTCTGTCTCTGCCTTTAAAACTTTTCTGATTCAATCTCCTATCACCTCCCAAATTTCTTTGTCTCGCCTGCTTAGGATCACAATCCTTGTGACTGATACAACATACCTTTTCATTCTTTCTTTCTATCAAAACAACCTGCTGTATCTTTCTCATGAATCTTCCCAAGAAATTCATTTGGGGTCAAAAAGGGCCAGTCACAGACCAACAAGGAACAAAAGTGAACAAGGAGGAAGCATATTCCATATGCAGGTCGGGATTACCGAACTCACACCCCCTCTTTGTGTACCCCACAGATATAATATTAATAACTTTTAAAGGTTTAATGGATAGTTAAATTGTGTATATAAAAACACTAAGACTTTGCAAATTTTTAAAACGCATATTGCTTCCTGTACCTGGGGCCGTGCAAGGATGTAGTTGGGACATATTTCAAATTGAGTATCAAAAGTCTAACCACAAAACTAAATGTTATACGCTTATCAAGTTTAACCCGTTAGTGCGTACTTTGGATAGCCTCTTTGCATAATTTGGCCCCTAGTGAGATTATTATATTATTTATTTATCCTCTTCTGGATCTGCAAAATGCTTTCAATTTACCCATACAAATATAATACAGTAGTTTAGGAGATTAAAATTACCTCACTTATAAATTTCAGAAATTGTCTAATCTCTATTAAAAATACAATTTTATTATTACCCCATAATCAATGAGGCATTCTAGATGAATCTTACTTTGACACAAACAATGCAATATACTTTAAAAGCAGAGTTAACTCTGAGCTGGACAATACTCCCCTATTAGAACTCCTTTATGAGGGAGAGACATCTTGTCCATTCTTTCCTTTTTATCAGTAAAAGAATGACTTTCAGGATTAATCAATTTGCAAATGGAAACGTGGATCCACGATTTGAACAGCAGAAGTTTGCGGGGCCCCTTTCACGTGGGATGTAACAAGCGCTTTTCTTGCTCCAGGAGCGATAGCATACAATTGTTTCATTCTAACCGGCTGGACAGCATTTCACCTTTTGTAAAAACACTAAATGCTTGTGTTAATGATATGCAAATCACTCTACTAGTTAAACTCCTACACAATGGATAATAAAATACATGAAACACATAACACACCAATTCATTTCAAACCATATAACTCATACTCAGCATCCAATGTAATATCACATGTCATCTCACATAACAGACGTAGTAGAAACACATAATGGATACCCAGCAGATATGCCAATACAGAAAACACATTCTTGGACATGCAACTACACCCTCTGTGTTCCTCCTAGGAAACACGGGCAGACACAATATGAAAGCAGTCTTAAACTAACACCTCCAAATCTCCATTTCCATATAGCTATATCAGAACACAACACAGAGCCTGATAGAACTACTCCAACTACTCTTGGCCAAAACACTAGTATCCAACAGCTAATAAAACCGTTATTTGCTGGGTTATTTGGCTGTCATTCTTATCAGTATCACTAGACTGAAACAAACTGATTCAAATATAATTTAAAACAACACAGCAACATATAAATTAAACCACTTTCCAGGTAAGCTGCACACTTCACACATTATCACAGTCACCATTTACACAGAATAAACAGTTAACAGCTGTATTCAGAACATATTATTGTAAGGTATACCAATTTTAGTTTGTATCAGATTTATTTTAGGAATTCTTATGTAAACATTAACTTCATTACTTTAATCTACTATAGTATTGTATATAAAGAAAGGATCCATTTATATAGCGCACTCATAACTCAAATATTTGTATGAAACTTCCATTAACTAATCTGAGATGATGCTGCATCAACTTAAATCTTATAGAAATTGAACAAACATCTGGACCTGATTACACAGACATGGTTTCACCCGAATCTTTCAGAACT